GCTCCATCTCTAATCAAACTCACCTGAACAAGCCAATCAGTGTCTTCAAGTTTGCCCACCCCTGATACAAGCTGCCCTGTGCAGTGTTTATAACAGGTCTTATTCAGTGTTTATAACCTGTCTTGTTCAGCTTTTATGATATCTCTTATTCAGTATTTATAACCTGCTATGTTCAGTGTTTATAGAGGATCTCGTTCAATGATTATAACTTGTCTTGTTCAGTGTTTATTACAGCTATTGTTCAGTGTTTACTATGTCATGTTCAGTGTTTATTACCTGGCTCATTCATTGTTTATAAGCTATCTTGTTTGGTGTTAATTACAGGTGTCATTCTGTGTTTATTACATCTCGTTCAATGCTAACAACCTGTCCTGTTTAGTGTTTATAACCTGTCCTGTTCAGTGTTTTTGCCTTTCCCACTTACAGGCCTTGTTGAATGTCTTTTACCTGTCTTAGTGTTTATTACAGGTCTTGTTCAGTGTATTTAACCTGTCTTAGTGTTTATTACAGGTCTTGTTCAGTGTATTTAACCTGTCTTAGTGTTTATTACAGGTCTTGTTCAGTGTTTATAACCTGTCTTAGTGTTTATTACAGGTCTTGTTCAGTGTATTTAACCTGTCTTAGTGTTTATTACAGGTCTTGTTCAGTGTACTTAACCTGTCTTAGTGTTTATTACAGGTCTTGTTCAGTGTTTATAACCTGTCTTAGTGTTTATTACAGGTCTTGTTCAGTGTTTAAAACCTGTCTTAGTGATCTTAGTGTTTATTACAGGTCTTGTTCAGTGTATTTAACCTGTCTTGGTGTTTATTACAGGTCTTGTTCAGTGTTTATAACCTGTCTTAGTGTTTATTACAGGTCTTGTTCAGTGTATTTAACCTGTCTTAGTGTTTATTACAGGTCTTGTTCAGTGTACTTAACCTGTCTTAGTGTTTATTACAGGTCTTGTTCAGTGTTTATAACCTGTCTTAGTGTTTATTACAGGTCTTGTTCAGTGTTTAAAACCTGTCTTAGTGATCTTAGTGTTTATTACAGGTCTTGTTCAGTGTATTTAACCTGTCTTGGTGTTTATTACAGGTCTTGTTCAGTGTTTATAACCTGTCTTAGTGTTTATTACAGGTCTTGTTCAGTGTACTTAACCTGTCTTAGTGTTTATTACAGGTCTTGTTCAGTGTTTATAACCTGTCTTAGTGTTTATTACAGGTCTTGTTCAGTGTATTTAACCTGTCTTGGTGTTTATTACAGGTCTTGTTCAGTGTACTTAACCTGTCTTAGTGTTTATTACAGGTCTTGTTCAGTGTTTATAACCTGTCCTGTTCAGTGTTCATTACAGGTATTATTCAGTGTTTAATTACATATATTGTTCAGTGTTCATAACCTGTCTGTTCATAGTTTATTACCTGTCTTAGTGTTTATAACAGGTACTGTTCAGTGTTTAATTACAGGTATTGTTTAATGTTTATAATCTGCCTTGTTCAGTGTTTATAACTTGTCTTACTGTTTAATTACATGTATTGTTCAGTGTTTATAACCTGTCTTGTTCACTGTTTATAACCTGTCACATTCAGTATTTATTACCTCTCCTGTTCAGTATTTATTGTTAAGTGTTTATTATCTGTATTGGTCAGTGCTTTTAACATGTCTTGTTCAGTTTGATACAGTTCTTGTTCAGTGATTCTCACCTGTCTTGTTCAGTTTTTATAACAGGTATAGTTCAGTGTTTATAACTTGTCTTGTTCAGTGTTTATAACAGGTATAGTTCAGTGTTTATAACTTGTCTTGTTCAGTGTTTATAACAGGTATAGTTCAGTGTTTATAACCTCTCTTGTTCAGTGTTCATAAGGTGTCTTTATCAGTGCTTATAATGTGTCTTTATTCAGTGTTTATAACCTGTCTTGATGAGTGCTCATTACCTCCCCGTTGTGCCAGACGCTCTCGTTTCCCTCGGGGTCGATGTCATCTGTGTTGAGGGTCAGGAACGCCAGTCGTCGACTTAAACCCTGAGCCTTGATCTCCAGCAGAGCCTGTTTACCGATGAAATCTGCAGGCTGAAAGAACAGTGTTACTTTAATATATACAGCCATGGCAATGCTCTGGATTATTCCATGCTATTTTTTTAATATTCACCATTTTTGTTTTAATCTAGCTGTCGTTCCAGTAAGTTTGTAGTGCTTTCATATTTTGGTTTTCAGTTTTTAATAAACAATATTAATGCTCGTTGTTTAATGATCACCTTATTGAGTTTGATAAAATAGTCCAAACCGGCTTCTAAAGGGTTGGTGTCGCAGTTCATCTGGAAATAGAAGAGAACAGATACTAGAGATCAGATGCTGAGTGTGTGTAGTAGTGTGTGTGTGTGTGTGTTTGAGAGTGTTTATATGTGTATGTGTTTTATATATATATATATGTGTGTGTGTGTGTGTGTCTGTGTGTGACCTCTGCTCCCCAGGCCCTGAAGCCCTTCTCCAGCCTCAGAGAGTTCATGGCGTATGTGCCGAAGTCATCAATGTTTTCATCTCGTCCCGCTTCCATCAGAGCCTGATAGACTGCAGACATGTTCCTCATGTCCATGTAGAGCTCCCAGCCTAACTCACCTGTACACACACACACACACACACACACACACACACACATATATGAACAGACATATGAACAGACATATAAACACACACACGCACACATATATATATATATATATATATATATATATATATATATATATATATACATACATACACACACACGCACACAAACACAGGAATAGACAAACACACACACACGCATATATATATAACAAACATGTATAAAACACACATACACACACACACACACACACACACACACACATGAACAGACATGTAAACACACACACACGCGCGCACATATATATATATATATATATATATATATATGTATATATCTCACACGTGTATAAAACACTCACACACACACACCCAAACAGATATATACACACACACGCGCTCATATATATATATATATATATATATATATATATATATATATCTATATATATATATATATATATATATATATATATATATATATATATATATATATATATATATATATATATATATATATATATATATATATATATATATATATATATATATATATATATATATATATATATATATATATATATATATATATATATATATATATATATATATATATATATATATATATATATATATATATATATATATATATATATATATATATATATATATGTATGTGCGTGTGTGTGTTTATATGTCTGTTTGTGTGTGTGTGTGTGTGTGTTTTATACATGTGTGTTATATATATATATATATATATATATATATATATATATATGTGCGTGTGTGTGTGTGTGTTTACATGTCTGTTCATGTGTGTGTGTGTGTGTGTGTGTGTGTGTGTATGTGTGTTTTATACATGTTTGTTATATATATTTGCGTGTGTGTGTGTTTGTCT